TACATACATACATACATACATACATACATACATACATACATACATACACATACATATATACCAGGGGTTGTGACGCTAAATATATACCTTCTTCCCTGGCTTCAGCTGATAAGAAGGAGACCTGTGGCTTAATGGCTAAGACGTTCGCCTAAGATGCAATACAGCACAGGTTCGAATCCCAGTAAGAGTATGGCTAGCTGATGAGAGCTAAATAGCTTGAAATAGATCTATACTAGTCTTCCTTTATTTATTTATCAGCAAAAATAAAACACACACACACACACATATATGTATGTATGTATATATATATATAGTGGGAAAGCAGAGTTTCTGAGAATGAAGCAATATTCCAATATATCCAATTCAACCACTCCTGTTTTATTCTTCCTACTAGTAAGTACAGCTTAACAAAGTATGGGCAATGTGTTACTATCTACCTTTGGATCTGACAGGTCTCTCCAAAACAAACAGAAACAAAACAACAAATTATAACTTCCAACTTTGTGAAAGAATAAAATAAGAATTCTAAAGTGTAAGATAAATATATTTCTTTTTTATTTATATAGTACAACTTAAAGCAGTGTACATAATGCTTCCTTGGCCTGAGGGAAGATGGCTTTGTTTATAGCATATAAATCTTAAGTGCCATAAATCTAACCATTTAGAAGAGGCTTTAAAGCACTGTGAAATGATATATAAATCTGTCATTTCACAGTGCTTTACAGCCCTCTCTAAGCAGTTTACAGAGTCAGCCTACTTCCCCCAACAATATGGGTTCTCATTTTACCAACCTTGGAAGGATGGAAGGTTGAGTCAACCTTGAGCCGATGAGAATCGAATTGCTAGCAGTCACCAGAATTAGCCTGCAATACTGCATTCTAACCACTGTACCATCACGGTTTATGCCCAGTCACTCAGCTGTCTTCCATGCTTAAGAGAGAACTAGAAGTCACATTTTCCCAGTTCATCAGACTACTAAATAGAAGACCAGGCCAGAAAATAAAGCTCAACGAAAGTCTAAAATTACTTTTTATAAAAGTATAAAATCAGAATCTTCCAAGTCTGAACGTACTGCACATATTTCTCCTTCTCACACTTTTTTACTTATTAATTTTTTATCCTGCGTTTATTACTTTATAGGTAACTCAAGGCGGTAAACCTACGTAATACTTCTTCCTTCTTCTATTTTCCCTCTAAAAACAACTTTGTGACGTGAGTTGGGCTAAGAGAGATTGGCACAAAGTTACTCAGCTGACTGACCTCAACATACGACTGCAATGAAGCCTGTGCATAACCGTAGTATGTCGTAAATCATCATGTAACCAACTCAATTTTACAACTTTGGTGGCAAGCCAGTGATTCGATATGGGTGCAATTTTACCAGAAGCCGATGTGAATGCCAATTTCCGACAAAACCATTGTAAAACGTGGTCATGTGACTATAGGACACTGTGGCCATACTGCCAAGCACCTAAAGTTCAGTGATGTGACCATGGAGGAAGTCTGACCATCAGAACTTTGTATCTGTGCCATAAGTTCCTTTTTCTGGTTGGTCATAACTTCAAATAGTCACTAAGCAACCAGTCATAAGTCAAGGACTTTCCATACACCAAACAGGCTCTCTATTTCATTTCATTATGTAAATTGGTGAGGTGTCTGCCTAAGCGGTTTCTGAATGTTGTCTCATTAAAATGATTTGGCCTTCTTTGCTTAGGTAACTGTTTCTTCATATTTCCCTCAAGATCATTTTTTAACTCTCTACAGTTTCTACTCCAGCATCTTAGTCACAATACCAAACTCTCAAGCCTACTGTAATTCAAACTCAAATTCAATGTGTGAGTTCATTACAGTCAGCCAGATGTTCAGAGTAAATCTGGCTAGCATTTTTGTCCACCTACAGAATCCTTCCCAAGTACCTGGGATAGGCAGATATAGATGTTTAATGGCGTTACCCATATCATTGCAGGATGTACTGTAGGCTATCCCAAATAAAGCTGCCTTTTGCAACTGACGGATGGGGTATTTGTCAATGCTGATGGTGTTCCAGTGGTGCTCCAGTTGTTTTGGGATTGCACCCAAGGTGCCTATTACTATTGGTACTATCTTTGCCTTTTTCCACATTCTGTTTCTATTTGCAGGACATTATTATAATAAGAAATATTACTATCTGTGTTTGTTTTCGATTCTTAAGTGGGAAAATTCAACAGTTTCCAGAATACACTAATTTAATGTTTAAACAATACGGTACATGTCCACTTTTACAAAGTCAAAGCACTTGTTTGCAACTTTTGAAACAAACTTCAAAATGAGTAGAACAGAATACCTGTACTTTCTTATTAAACTTGATGGCAATGAACTGTATTACACACCAGGGAAGTCCATAATTAGTATTTTACTATCTCATTTTTTTTTCAATTTAAACACCAAACTTTATTCTTTCTACAATATATCTGTCGCCTCCTCGGAATACCACTTTAATTTCAGTTATGTTGCTTTCCATGTTGAAAGTGGTCTTTTCCGCTGAATTTATCAAATCTTTCTTCTCTTTCTTTCCAAAATATTTTGAACAAAGCTATTCTTCAACTATCCTAACATTACATTCTTGGTAGCTCTACTGCTATCTATTTCTCAATATTCAGCAGACAATCTTGGGGTTTTCTCTTCCAATCCTATCTTATATAGACTTTACAAACTCATAACAGGGGATCGAAAGGTGCTTTTTTTCAAGAGGCAAGGGGGGGGGGGCATTTTTGAGACAACCATGACCTGGATGACTGAGAATCTCCATAGATACTCTCAACAGGGGAAGTGTCACAGCTGGAAATATAAACTGTTTGTGAGAGAAGGTATAATCTCTGTTTTCATCATGTATATTCTGATAAAGGTAATTCAATATTTTGTAAACAGAAAAAACAGAATTATAGAATTCTTTATTTTTCCCTTTCAAAACTTAGTGTTCCGTGCAAATCAGTATGAAATACATTAGCTCTACATAATCGACTTTCCAGTTCATTACTTTGGTTAACAAAACTTTACATTTCCTTTGTTTCACATTTTTAAAATTATCTAGCAAGATAAAACTAAATAAAACATACTTATGTTTTCAATGAAATGTAACAATTCTTTTTATTTTTACAAGTGAAGGATCTTTATACATGAACTTTCCAAAGAAAATGTCAAATTAATGAAAGCTATTTTTAATTTAGCACATAAAAAGCTAGTTTAATCATTCACTATTTTAAGACTGCAACTTCAGGACATTTGACATTTTCACATTCAAAACTAACATGCACTCTCTAAAATACAATTATGACTGCCAGATTAGAAAACCTTATCTAAGACCAACAATTTTCCACAGTGCATTTTTTGTAGCACAACTCTAACTTGATTTAATCAAGACAGCCTATAAGCTTTGGGATGACTAAGCAAAGCTTAGTGACTTTTAAATCACTTACCCAACGTTTGGCAAACCAACAATGCCAATTTTCAAGGATGTCCCAAATCTTCCAATGATTGGGTGTGGTTTAATTCCATCACCTCCCTTTTTGGGGGGCATCTGAAATTAGAAATAAAGACCAAATGAAAAGCCTAACATCCAAATGCCTTTTCTTACATCCTAGGGAAAGGTGGTATTCAGCAGGTTCTGACCAGTTCTGGAGAACCGTCAGCAGAAATTTTGAGTAGTTCGGAGAACCGGTAAATACCACCTCTCACTGGCCCCGCCCCCATCTATTCTCTGCCTCCTGAGTCCCAGCTGATTGGGAGGGAATGGAGATTTGCAGTATCCTTCCCCTGCCATGCCCACCAAGCCTATAAGGTTTGGGATGACTAAGCAAACTTTAGTGACTTTTAAATCACTTACCCACCAAGCCACGCCTCACCCACTGAAGCAGTAGTAAAAAAAATTGAATCCCACTACTGTCCCTAGGGTTCCAAAAGCAACACCCATTCAACACGTGCATTTGACTGACTACTGTACATCAAATACCTTCCTGGGATCCATAACAGCCCAACATAGCAATGCTTTGGGGATGCCCAAGAGACAGGAATAGAGGCAGCAGCCAGAGGACAACCAGGAATACAACTGTACATAGCAAGGCCTTCTTGTGCCACAGTTCTGGTAGCCGCTGAATCTGGTTCTGCAAAGCTCCTGGATATGCTGAGCTAAAAATAACCACCTCGGAGCCCAAGAAGGGATTGAAATCCAGCACCGCCAATTCCTCCTGACGTTTTCTGTGCTGAGTGGCAGCTGCGAGGAGGACTTCCCCAGCTAGTCAAACGAACAGGCGGGAGGGCTCTTCACAGAGCAAGCACTCAAAACTCCTCCCTCGGGACGCTCCCAACTGAATGGGGAGGACACCCCCCAAAACACAGGAAGCACCAGCTTTGCACCCCTATATATACCTCCCACTTCAAGCAAAAGGCTAGCTGGCTTACTGCACGCCATCTCCGCCTTAAGCATCTTTCCTAACCCGGCAGGCATTTCTCTTCGCCGCCTTTCAGACTCAGCCAAGCCAGGAGGTCATCCGCATTGCTTCCAAGCGGCTTCCCAAACCCAGGATAAGGGCACCTGCAACACCCCGGGTCGCATATGGTGGCATCGACCCCTCAGTACCCCTCGTTGCCTCTGCACGGAATCAACCACTTTGGAAGAGTCCCGCTCCGGGCTCCAACTGCACCGAAAGGGGAGCGAGAGAGCTTGCAGAGCCGCAACCTCGGTCCCCGCCTCTCGCGGCAGAAGGAAGGAAAGGCCGGCAGGCCTCTTGCCCCGGACGCCTTTCCCACCTCCCCGCGTGGCAGCTGCCCTCCCCACACCCACGCCCCACAGGAGCCCTTCGCCTCCTTTCCTCCGCGGCGTGGAAGGAGGCAAGGCAGCCGCTGAAACCTGGCTGGGAACTGGGGAGGAGCTGCAGATCCAGGCCTCCTCCAGTCGCACCCCCACACACACACACCGGTACACAAACGCGCACAGACACACACACACAGACAGCATCTCCGAGCACGCGACGCAGAACACGCGCCACGAGCCCCCCGCCCTCCCAACCTCACGCGCCTTCACCTTGCTGCCGGGGCAAGCAGAGGGGCGCCCCACAAGGCTCTGGAGAAAGCGGCAGGGAGAAGGGGAACGCCTCCCGCGCGGCCACGCTCTCTTCTCTCGCTCTCTCTACCCGGGCAAAAGCAGCCGGCGGAACGGGAGGGACTCGCTTCCCTCTGGGGCGGAGACTGGCGGAGGGGAAAGGTCACGGGAATTGAAAGTGGGGCGCCTGGACCTGCGCGGAGGAGGGAGCCGCCGGGAGGGAAGGGGTGCCTCTTCCCACGGGGCTGCTCCTCGGGGGTCCCTTCCCCCCCCCCCACAACCCCCGCGGGTCCATCCAACCGGCAGTGACTCTTGCCTTGCTCAGTCGGTGATTGGGCCTCCTGGCGTGCAACCGTCGAGGCGGGTCTCCCTCCGGGATCTCCATTCAATGGCAAATCGTTTCTGTTTCCTTTACTTTAAATAATGATGATAATAATAATAATAATAAT